ATATCAACACACTAAAAACCATTGAATTGTACATTTTAAATGGGTGAACTGTATGGTATATGAATTATATATCAATTTTTTAAGAAGTGGGTAAGTGGGTTTCTTCCTGTCTTTCTTTTTTTGTAACCACCAGGAAACTTCCCTTTTCCAGGGGCATGATTTAATAGGCAAAGAGAAAAACTTGGAAGCCCTTTTCTTCTCTGTGTACTCTCCACTGTGCAGTCCCTCACTCCATGTCCTACTCATTCAGGAAATCCCAGATAGTAGGAATTGTAGTTGGGAATTCTGCACTCACTCACCCCTTTGTATACCACTGTTTCCAAAAGAAAATAACATTTGATGCATTTTTATAGTATCTTCTTCATGCAGACTATAGGTTAAAACAATTAGAGTAATTTAAATTTTTCATAAATTTAAATAAAACAAAAAGATTAGAAAACATGTATTGAACCTTAACAGTTACTTTACTACCTTTATATCCTTTATTTTCTGCTTTTCAAAATTGTCAATAGTTTCCTCCAGATGACGAGTTGTTCGGGTAGCATCCAATGTAGCCCTCTGTAATTCATTTTCTGCCTATATAGTATTGCCCAACAAAAAATGAAAAAAATTAAGTCAGAATCCCTTCATTTGAATCTATTTGTAAATGCTACCATTGCAGTATTGATTTTTTGGCATAACAGTGTAAATGTTCAATAATATGTTTTAACACATAAAATAAAATCTATATAAGCACATGCAGAATAAAAAACTTTAAATCTATTAAGTGACATGATTCATGATCTCAAACAAAAGAAAACAAAACTCACTTTCTACAAAACCATTTGCTGCATTTTCTACTGCTTTCACCTGTCTCACTGTGCCATCTATCAGACTATTCTTTTTCTCTTCACACTCTCTCCCCTTTAACCATGCCTCCCCCAAAAAGAAAGTTCCTGTGATCTAAGTATTTTCAATTTTCTAGTTCTCCAAATGTATTGTTTCTTATTCTGTAATATGGACTAGCCACATGCAGCTATTTATACTTAATTAAAATTAAATGAAAATTTATCTGGTCTCAGTTACTTTAGTCACATTTCAAGAGTTCAA